TTTGACATGAAAATCTTGACAAGTTGATAATATATAAGTTTTAATAAAGTTCCAACAATTCAGAAATACAATTTTCTTCCTTTTAGTTGGCCATGATTTCCTGTATTGTCGAGTGTTGTCGATTGTCCTTCAGGAAAGATATTGGCCGAACTATTGAAATATGGCCAACTCCATTAGATACTAGATATTGGTGATTAGCAAGACGATTATCTCTCACCTAATTTCCACTTTCTCTGTTGTTTGCTGATACAGAAGCCCCCATAAAATTGAATACTGTGAGAATTGTTAAAATATGACTCAAATTCATATTTGGATTAGGTTTGGGTTGTTTGATTGATAAAGGAGGCATAAATAATTTTAATTTGGAAGTTTCATTTGAATCAAATTTCCTCAAGAATTAGGAGTATGATTGGAAGAAGGACTTTGACATTGATAAAAAAAAATGCATTTGGAGTGTTTGGGGACGGCACCAGCCAGCGAAAGAGGAAACAGGGTTGGGTGCAAGCTATGGGTATAGCTGTCAATTAATTGGATTTTTATTCGAATTCGATAAAATTAATGGGAGATTGGTTTTTGGTCTTAGTTCGATAACCCGATCAAAATCTGAATTCAACAATTCGTTAACTAAATGAAGCAAATACAAATATAGGTTAATCAAATCCAATAATAAACTTATCGAATTTTTTATAATAATATAATATATTCTATATATTATTGCATAATTTATTACACATATTTTTTTTTTACATTTTTAAACTTGTATTATAATTTATGTAAAATTTTTAAATAATATAATATTGTTAATTGAAATATTTGGACATTTTTTTTAATATTTTTATTAGGTAAAATAAGATAAAAAAATAATTACTTTATTTTATAAATTAAACAATCAAAGGGGGTCAACAATTGGAATTGCTTTCGCTGCTCCCAATTTTCCACATCGGATACTCACTAAAATATTACATGATTTGCAATCTACAAATCGGTGGACCAAGAATTAGGTAAAAAAACAATCTGGACCTTTTAATTCTAACCTTGGAAGTTGATTAATATAAAAATTTATCTTCCTAATTTCTTCCATTTCAGATCAGATATTCGAGCAAATCGATATGAATTTAACAATTAAATATCCGTTGGATTATCGGATCAAATCGGACGAATAATTATTGTCATTGGATTGGATATTGGTGATTCAATCCATATTCGATCCATTTACAACTCTAGCCATGAACGCCCAGGCACCACCGATTCAACCGGAATTCAATTTTGATTGGAATTCTTGTATTCTATTTCACTCAAAATACCAAAATTGGACTCCTATATATACTCCACATGACTTGAGTAATATAGCAAAACATTGTATAACACTGAGAGACCATTGAAGTGAAAGGATCCAGTTTATAGAGAGAGACTCGGATATTTTTGATATATGTTGAGAGTCTTGTGAAACCATTTTGTACTTATTTGATATTGATCATAGTAAACTCTCTCTCTCTCTCTCTCCCCGGAAATTTTTTTTTTTTTAATTTGGGTTTCCACATTAAATGTTGTGTTTTTGTGTGATACATTATTTTTATTTTGCTTATATTTCTTGTCTTTATATTCACAACAAATGGTATAAATTCTATGATCGAATTATTGCAAATTTGCTTGTTTTCTAACAAGTGGTATCAGGTTGTTTCGTAATTCTTAGCAATTGATTCAATTTCTAACAAGAACCAAATGACAACGCTTCCAATTCTAAATCCAATCTCGAAGGTATGTGGACAAAAATTAAATAGAGGTTGTCATTTCATTTGGCTACATATTTAATCCAAGTGGACAAATAAGCAATGTAAATGTGCCAAATCAATTTTCTATCTGCACTCGTGGAGGTTTTCGTTAATTGTGATAAAAAATTTGAAACGAAAGGAGAAATGGGTAAATGTTTTAATAAATGAGTGAGCATTGATAACCTTTTTTTTTTTCCTTAACGAGCAAGTAGTAACATAAGATAAAGTTCAATATGTAAAAATTTATTTAACTCGTCGAAATCGATAGATATGAATGCGCACTAACCCAAATGATAGGATCATTTACCCAATTGACCAAATTACGAACACATTCCACATCTAGGAATTGTTTGGTAGGAATTAAAACCTAAATTTTAATTTGATTCAAAATTAATAATTAATTTTAATCATATATTTCACAAAATTCACACCGTTCAATTATATATTTAATAATTTTTATCAAAATCTACTGAAAATTGATTTTAGCCCTTCTTTGGGCTCTATTTTTCCAAATTATAATGAGAAGAATAGTAATTTTTTGAAGAATGTGAAATTGAAAAATAATTTTTTTTATATTTACTTTTAATATTATTTTATTAAAAAATGCAAGAAGGAAAAGAAAATTTTATTTTAATTTAAAGAAGGCCAACTAAAAAAGCATGCGCTCAATGACTCAAATGTCAATATAGTCATTTTCAACGGAGAGTCAGACAAGACATATATACTTTTACTTTGGGTCCTTAACAGTTTGACTTTACTGTCTTAAATCCACCAAATATGGGTAACTGCAGTGGCTCCTCCGCCCGCCCACCCACCACCACGCTTCCATCGCCACATCCCATTGGCGGAGACACCGGCATCACCGTTCTCCCATCGGATGCTGCACCGCCCGCTCGCCGCCCACTCCTCACTGGCGTCGGCCGCGTCCTGGGCCGCCCCTTATCCGACGTCCACTCTGTCTACATTTTTGGCCGTGAACTAGGCCGCGGCCAGTTCGGCGTCACCCACTTCGTCACCCACCGCGCCACCGGCCAGTCCTTTGCTTGCAAATCAATCGCCACTCGTAAACTCGTCACCCCCGAAGATGTGGCGGACGTCAGCCGTGAGGTACAGATAATGCACCACCTCACCGGTCATCGCAACATAGTGGAACTCAAAGAAGTATTTGAAGACCGCCACAATGTGCATTTGATTATGGAGCTTTGCGCCGGCGGCGAGCTTTTCGATCGGATCATCGCCAAGGGACATTATTCCGAGCGGGCGGCAGCGGGGTTATGCCGCCAGATTGTGACGGTGGTACACGACTGTCATTCCATGGGAGTAATACATAGAGATTTGAAGCCTGAAAATTTCTTGTTCTTGAATACTAATGAGGATTCTCCCCTCAAGGCTACCGATTTTGGCTTGTCTGTGTTCTTCAAACCTGGTAATTTTCCTCAAATTTTGATTTAATTCCAGTGAATTATGTACTTGTATAGAATTGTTAATCTATTTATTTAATTTTGTTGGGATTTGTGTGAAAGGAGTTTAATGCAATTTAATGAATAGTTTTGATGGTAAAAGTTTTTGACATCTGATAAGATGAGAAATAATGTGTCTATGCGTTTTTTTTTGACAAATCAGTACGATGAATATCACCAAAATATTGTTTAATTTATTCCATAATACTAGTCCAGAGAACAATTTGGTAGACTAGAATTAATAATTTTGAAAAATAAATCAGAATGTAGTATTTTTATGCGTAAAATAAGTGCTTATCTTTGGCATGTCTCTAATTTAATCTCAGACCCGCAATAGATTGATGGACGTAACCGAATCCAATTGAAATTACGTAGGTTGGTTCTTATGCTTATAACAATGCATCAAATTCTTTTGCTTATTTGATCCTAAACTACTTGTGTTATCTCCTAAAGAATCAATTTTGGTATGCAACCATTTGGACATTTCCCTATTCGACATTGTATTTCATGTTTCCATGTTGTGTCTTCATTTATTTTGAAAAGCGTGTTGTTTCTGTTTATTTCATTATTCATTTCTTAGGAATCTCATGAGGCTATGTAAAGGATACATGCCTTAGCGCGTCCAGAATGTAGAAGAGGTGCTAACAGAAAATTGTTAATTTCAACGACTAATTACTAATTAACTAGGAACATTTGAATCACGAACTCCACATTTCATGTCAAGAACTACAATGCTCATAGGTTCCCACTCCCATTCATTTGAGATGGTCTTAATTCTAGGAGGCACTGACTCTTAGCACTTCTTTGTTTCTATTAGAAAACATACTTATGCAAACACTACTTCCAGAATTTCATTCTTTTATGCAGTAGTTTTTCGTTAGCATGCCGTAAATTTGAGCACGCACCCCCCAACCCCGTTGCTCTCTCTTCCTTATTCATAATCACATACTGGAGCTCTTATCTATTTTCGAAGGTATGCCCTTTCATGTCGACTCGGATATGGTAAGCTAATGGCAGCGCCAGACGAACATAGGTTTCGACTTATAGTTGATATCTTATTGCAGGAGATGTATTCAAGGATCTTGTGGGAAGTGCATATTATGTGGCTCCTGAAGTGTTGCGTCGAAATTATGGTGCTGAAGTTGATATTTGGAGTGCTGGGGTGATACTCTACATTCTACTCAGTGGTGTCCCCCCCTTTTGGGGAGGTATGTCTTGACATGAAAAAGTTGTATTACTTCACATTACATATTGATAATCGTTTCAATCTTTTTTCTCCAGCAGTTCATTTTATTCTTAGGGCCTGGGCTTTTGTTTAGAAGAGCTTCCTCGAGAAGCCACCTTAGGCCTGATTCTCTAAAATTAATCAAACAAAGCATTTTCAAAAAATTATCCTAACAGGTCTGATAGCAATTTTAGTCTCGAGAGTAGCTTTTGACTTTTCCAAAGCCCCACCAAATGGGCCCTTAGTTTTAGCGTACTTTATGTAATTGATAAAAATAAATTCAGAATCAGTGAATTTGTTCACCTTCGTTATAATCTCAATATTTGAAACTTCTTATCTTCTTTTATTTGCAGAGAATGAGCAGAGTATATTTGATGCTGTTTTGCGGGGACATCTTGATTTTTCTTCTGATCCTTGGCTATCGATATCAAGTAGTGCCAAAGATCTCGTTAAGAAGATGCTACAGGCAGATCCCAGACATCGGCTTACTGCTGTAGAAGTTTTACGTATGTTTCAACTCTTTCTGATGATAGAATTCTGTATGATTTCAGTACAGTAAAATTGGGACCCAATGGACCCTCTTATATTGGCTTGACATAATTTATGCATATGATAAATACACTAACGTAAAATAGACACAATACTAAAAAAATGAGTTACTTTTAAATATATTTTTGTTTCCAAATATGTTTGGACACATTATTTTTGTGTCAATATAAGAAACTTATTTCATTTTGATCAATAAAAAAAATACTTATTTACGTATTAATTGATCTTTAAGCTTAGCCAAACGTTGTCTGACAAATTGTTTCTCCATGAACATAGGAGTTCTTCACCATCTAGCATAATATCGTTTTCATCTTTTTCACTCATTCTCCTTGTCTTTCCTTTTGACCATTTTGTTTTGTTTCTCCACAAACTATTTGTGTTGTTTACAAGTGGTATTGATTTAGCTCGAGAATGCAAAATTTTATTTACTCAATGAACATGTGAAGAAATGTTTTTAAACTAGTTCAATGTGATTCAATTAATTATAAATTAAAGTTCAACTATTTAAAATGCAGAACATCCATGGATGAGAGAAGAAGGTGATGCATCTGATAAGCCTCTTGACATAGCCGTCTTGACTAGAATGAAGCAGTTCCGTGCAATGAACAAGCTCAAGAAAGTGGCTCTTAAGGTGAAGTATCCATATTTTACTTACGTTAATGAAATTTCCAATTTCGTTATAAATCATTGTTTTCCAGCTCATGATTAATTCTGAACCTATATGAGGGTTTCTAGGTAATTGCAGAAAATTTATCGGAAGAAGAAATTATGGGACTGAAGGAGATGTTCAAGACCATGGACGCTGATAACAGTGGAACAATTACGTATGAAGAATTGAAAACTGGTTTACAAAAATTGGGTACCAAGCTTTCTGAGTCGGAAGTGAGGCAATTAATGGATGCGGTAACTTCTCTAATTTCTTTTTGGTTGCAGTCATATTTCGTTTTAGCTTCAATTGTTATCTCATTTCAATGTACTGTCAAATCTGTTTCATTTGTAGCATGAGTAAATAGAGAACACTGGCCTCAATCTTTACACTTTTGGCTTCAAGGCTTCACCATTGGACATAGGTTTCATTGAACTTAACCGAGTACATTGTTGTCAAAATAAGTAATTTATTCATTTAAATCATTTACTTATAAGTAAACTTTCTAAGCTCTGCCAACATGTTCTGAAGTCTTTTCCTACAACTACTACTCCTTCATTAAACTTAGTCCTTACTTTACCTGTTTCTTTGACCTCAATTTGAACTTTTTATCCTTGTGTACATATGACCTCGACTTCTTGGAAATTTTACTTTTGGAACCTGTGCAGAATTCATGGACAATCTTTGGTAAACACTGCACTATAATCTTCCAACTTAATATTGATTCATGTTATTGAAATTCAACTTTATTTTATTTCGAAATTAGAAAAGTAAATGAAATCAGTAATTACCTTTAGTTACAGAGGTAACTTGGCATCTCATAAAGCTGCACTATTAGGCTTAGATTATTATTGAAAGGTGACGATGACCAAGGGAAATTCAACATTTATCAACCCTTGGTCCTAATAACTCGTGTTAATTAAATTTGTGCAATTATCATTATATTATTTTGTATGCAATAGCTTTTCTTATAGTAAATTGGAAGAAAAATTAGATAATTAACACGAGAGTTATTGAATTAATACAAAGTCACGAGTAGAGTAAGATTCATGTTTTTACGTTCAAGCTGGTTTGAATCAAAAAGGAAAAAATTCAAACATTGGACATATTGAAACAAACCTAAAATTCAGATGAGAGAATGTATGTCTTAAGTTATAAAATAAAGTATAGAGTTACTTTTAACTTGCGGTTTCCAAATGTTTTTGGATATGTTACCCTTTTTCTTACTTTTAAGTAAGAAAAAAGTTACTTCTTCTAATACAAGTCCGACCTTCGTAAAAATTAATAACTTATTTTTAATTTTTGAGAACTTATTTACTTATAAGTGAACTTTTTAAGCTTAGCTAAACAAGCTCTCAACCTGGGAAGGGTGGGTGGGTAATATTTTCCTCTGTGAGGTCGTATGTAACGTCCCGAGTTTTGTGAACCCGGATTGCCACGTCATCATCTT